GTAAAATCCGAACGACTTCGTATGAGCCTGAAAACGCGCGCCATTTTGCCGACTGATTGAGACGAGGCATCGTTGCTGCAGAGGGGATCATTGTTCGACTATTGCTCCTGCCTGGTGTGCCAGTGTACACACCAGACGAGGACAATAGCCAGCACAGTCCGTAGTGTCCATCGCTCCCAGCCCACCTCCAGTTCCCGAGCCTCCTGGACAGAGAGATCGTTAGGGCGGCGTTGAGCTCAGCGTCGGCCCCGCTCGACGCCTCCGGGCCCGCCGCGGTCGTGTCCGCCCCGCGGCCGCTCGCCGACCGGGTCTAATGTGGCCGTCTCGCGCGACCGACACCGCTCCGACCGACGTCGCCGGCCCGCCGCGCTCAGCCACGCTGCCAGGGTGCCGACGACGGCACGTGAGGCTCCAGGAAGCCGCCGGCGGTTGTTACGGGGCCTGCGGGGCGTCCTTCGGACCGTGTGGACCCCCAGGGCGCCTGAAGCATTATGCGTCTCTGTCCTGGCGCGAGCACTAATGGACGCGGAGTAATCTAATTGTGAGTTGTAGGGTGTTCATGTGGACGCGGATGCTCGGACGGCTGCTCGATGGGGTCACGCTGGTTGAGGCGAATGTTTCAACGAGAAAAAGCATGGGAATGTCAAGGTCAAGAGGCTGACGTCGACGCCTCATGCGGCCTTGAACCCTGCGGTATATCAAACCGTAAACCTGATGTGGTAATGCTGATGTGGATGATTTTTCCGCCTGATGCGAGCAAGGCAATCCGTAAGCTCCCTGCGTTTCGGCGCTGTTTCCTTCGCTGTTGCTTGCGTAGGTTTAAAATTCATATGCTGGCATTTACTGACCTTCAACATGCAATGAGGTACCGGGTAAACCACGATATTTAGAAAACATCGGTTATATGTGAAACCCCCAACAATATAACCAATGTTTGCTTGCTAATCGTTTAACCAGTACCTCCCCGTATGCTGAATGTCCATCATTGTGGGCATAATAGCTTCAAAGCCATGATTTATCGGCCGTTATCTTCAGGGCTCCTACGTGAGACCTGGGTCTTGTAACGTCACTGCCGCCACCGACTGCCGCCCAGGTCAGCCCGTGCCCCGCCGGAGCCCACGGCGGATCCATGGAGCTGTCGGTCACAGCCTCGCGCCATGTTGGTCTCCTTCTGTCCAAATGGCGTCCGTGTCCTCCGCGTGCTGAAAGGCCACTGCTTCGCCATCACCGGCGGCGAAGAGCGCACCGGGGGGGGGGGGGGGGGGGGAGAGGCGTCCTGGGCTGCATGAGAGCGGTGGGGGAGCCTCCCACTCCATGCCACTCCACCGCAGGCTAGGAATCTCCTCCCCCCCACCCTCAGCATCAGCTGATTGCTGATGTGGGTGCAGCCATTACCACCGGAGCGCAAAATGATCGTTCTCATGGTGCTTGGAAAGTTGTTGACGTTTGAAAGAGCGAAATTTTGGCTGTTTCGCCAGTTATGACGGTTGTATTTTGCTATGCGTTGTTAAGTACGAGCATTCCCGTGATGGAGAGCAGCGGTGTCGCCTGTCGAAGGTATTGATTACTAATGCGCCACTCAGTGTTACACACATTCTTTTTATAGCCGAGCACTCTCTTTTCCTTCTCGTTTTGTTGCACTAAAAGTTCATGTATAAGTCTCTCGGAAATGAGTCTATCGGCGAGGCTCTGGCGTTCAACTCGGGAATGGTCAGAACGAGAAGCGGCGGCTCTTATGGGTTGCGCTGCCAAATACTTACCAAATACTATTCCCCAGGGAGACCAGTCTTATGTGCGCTCGTGCCTCATCGCGGCGTCCCAGTGGACTGATATTCCAACAGCACATAATCAGATAATCGCAAGCCTGTCTCTGACGAGATTTCCGTAGTGCAGAGATAATTATGTTATTTTGTGCACTTATTACATGCGGATCCATCGTGGACCGCTCCTTCGCCGGTGAGGTGAGACTCTGGTGCCGGACTGCTGCTCCCTCCATTGGCGAGTGAGACTCTGGTGCCGGACTGCTGCTCCCTCCTTCGGTGAGGTGAGACTCTGGTGCCTGACTACCGCTCCCTCCTCGGTGAGGTGGTGAAACTCTGCTGCCGGACCGCGCTCCCTCTTCGGGGGGTGAGACTCTGGTGCCGGACTACCGCTCCCTCACTGGTGAGGTAAGACTCTGGGCCTGAACGCACCCCCCACTGGTGAGGTGAGACTCTGGTACCTGACTACCGCTCCCTCCACTGGTGAGGTGAGACTCTGCTGCCGGACTGCTGCTCCCTCCTCCGGTGGGGTGAGACTCTGGTGCCGGACTACCGCTCCCTCCTCCGGTGAGGTGAGACTCTGGTGTCGGACTACCGCTCCCTCCACTGGCGACGTAAGACTCTGGTGCCTGACTGCCGATTCTCCGCCGGTGAGGCGAGCCTTTGGTGGTGAGGTGAGCCTCTGGTGTCGTTGCCCCTCCGCCGTCGCTGTCAGCCGGCTGGTCCGGTGGGCCCGGCCCGATGATCTGAGTTGGATGTCGTCCGCCCCCCCCCCCTCCCTGGAATAAGGATGCCTTCGTGCAGGGAATATATTCAAGGCGAGTTATTCCCCGCGGGTGCATTGGGCCTGGCCGGCTTCAAAGGCATGACGGTACGTGTTGACTTCGGAAACAGATTCACCCACGGGATATTGTCGGATACAAAATTGACCAGCACCAAGGAATACGCCCCTGACTGCTACATTTAAAGCAGTGTTAATGAGTTGAAAACGAATAATTCCTCTTTGCATTAGGAGCGTTGCTTGTTGCATTCTGGGCCCCTCTGTCGCAGCTCCCAATTGTTGCGCGTTGAAAGGCTTAGCCCGGTCGGGGGAGCGGTCGCATCACAAGTGTAAGATGGAAGTTCAAGCCTGGCTCCGGGCCAAGGGTTTCAGGGTCCACCGCGGGGAGCAGCGCGGGGATTTCGACGCTCAATGACGTGAGCTGTTGAATGCGTCGTCAAACCCCCATAGGCGAGGTTGACTGGCGAGGCGCCGCGCGTGTTTGCAATGGCTTTCCCTCCTTGTGCTTCGAACGTAAATGTACGGCTAACGTCGATAGCCTGAAGCTTAGACGATATTTTGACACCATGCAACGGAAACATAGCTTATAACCAATGGCCAAATCTGACATTAAACCTGATGTCCGTGGTTAGACACTACGTTCAGGACAACAAACAATGCCAGGGACCGCTAACCAAGATTCTGCCGCACGGTGGACAATACAATGGCTTGGTAATTACGGCTGTTATGTAGGCTCTCACCACAGTGTGTTTATACAGACTGTGGTATTTTGCTTTATACAAGGTCATGCCAGCTTCGATATCAATACTTGGAATCACGTACACAGACACACCTGTATGTTTTTTTTCTGGACAAAACATTAAATTAGTTAAAGACATCAGCTTGTCCATCAAAAATAGTTTGCTATTGCATTGCTTCTCACCCCAGAACCCATCCAAACTTCTCGGGTGGCGAATTAGCACTGTCGCTCGTCCGAGAACAAGATGGCCTGTGCGTTCCTTGCGTGGACTCAATGGAATACTTGGAATTATAGAAACATCACACATAGTGTTCCAAAGCGGGATTGTATGCCACTTAAATCTGTCGCAGTTTCTTCAGCATTCAATATCGCATGCGACAACTAGTGAAACGAATCACGTCATACATATTGCTCAAGTGAATAACACACCACCTCCGGGCATCGCACGTCTGTGGAAAGACAGGCCACTGCCTGCTGTGCCCTCCCCCGTCCCTCTCGGATAGGCACCTCGAGCCTGAACTGAAACTGAAACGGACGGGCACCGACTGTGCTTCCGAAGAGTCACTAAACTGAGGCGTACCAACGTTGATCCGCATCCACCATTATTCATTGGAGGTTTGAAACGTGCGATCATGAAACTACCAAGACGCCACTGTAAAGTCGGTGTATGCAGTCTGTGCTTCGTTAGGGGGTGACCACGTCTTCATCCTCAACGTTTTATTTTTACTGATGTCAGATAAAACCAGCATGGTTGTGGGCCCCTGGCGAATACACATCTGAACCCGAACCTGAACCGGACAGGGAATCCTTGACGAATACACATCTGAACCCGAACCTGAATCGGACGGACTGTCTGCAGCAGACGACAACACGTCCAGTGGCGGCTGCCGCTCCCGGAGTGGCCTGATGACCTGATCACTCCAGCTGGAGTGGCTGGAGTGGCTGGGTACCCGCAGACCGCTGTTGACCCACGCTGGGCCGGAACGGTGGACGGTAGGGAAACAATTACGTGCGGTCACCGAGGATCGACACCGAATGGCGATCGCAACGAGTGCAGGGAAGAGCAGTGACCCGATGACGGCCTTTTTGGCTCTGTATGGCGGAGCAGCTATGACATCTTCGGCTGTGCTTTGAGCGGGAAGAAAGAAAGGAATTTCTTAACATGCCTTTCCCCTCTACCAGCGGCATTCAGATCTCTAAGGCCCTTTCACTGCTATTAATAAGCATTGGTATTTCTTTGGCTGTGTAGCGAAACTATGAAATCCGCGGTAGTATGTGAAACGTTCCATGTAACTTACTATCAGACACGCAAGGGGTTTTCTCGTGGCGCGCCTCAGTCCTGTCTCAGTCGTTGACATGTGCTGGCTTCCGGATCAAGACAGCAGGGCGCGAGGCTCTGCGCAGCGACCACGGCCGGTCCTGCAACGGCAAGCAGCCCAGGACACTGAGGCCCCGACGGTCGCAGCCCTGTGGTGCGGCGAGGGAAAACTGCGTGTCGGCCCGCGAGACACCCCTCGTGTCGGCCCGCGAGGGAAAACTGCGACACGGACGTCTGGAGCTGGTGCGTCCGTTGACAATGCCAGCAGATACCTCATTCGTCGCCTGATTTATACCTTCAATGGCTGGACGGTTCGGCGGTTTCGCTCAGCGGGCTACACAATCGCAGGTCACGCGTTCGACTCGGCTCGAGCCGCCACATTCCGTGCAGAGAGTTGTTGGCTCCTGCACTCCGAGTTTATTGACGTGATAGGTGAGTGTGTCACTGGTGAGTGGCGATCGTGACGGGTCACTTTGCTGCTGAGGTCCACCTCGAAACCGAAGATATGCTTGTATGCAGCATACCATCAAATTGTGAAAGACTAGCGACGGCGGTGGCTGCGGTGACCGTGATGGCCGTGATGATGGTCGTCATCATGATCATCGTGATCATCATGATCATCATGGCGGTCGTGGTGGCCACTCTTGCTGATGCCCGGCGTGGCCAGAGCCTTGAAGAGTTCCGAGTGATCAGGGAACTTGGCCTCCATGTCCTTGAGCGAAAACTCATTGTGTCCCTCCATCGTCCAACCTGCAATGAAGAGAAATTGACAGCTGTGGTCTACGCGTAGCCTGTCCACTAATAAATATGTGCAGTAACAAATTTGGGTAAGGAATGTTTCAATAGCTTAATGGTCTAGCCATTTTAGTTGCACGTTTCTTTTTCAAATTGCTCGAACGGCACCGCGTATAGATGCAGTCATTTACAGATGACTTAAATAGCAAAAGAGAACAATATTCATTAATTGTGGTGCATGTTCCGTGTGCAATTTTGTCTTAATGTCACGCACGTCAAATTCAACAAGGCAATGTCGGCCTTAACTTGTACTGGGACCTAAAGTCATGCACAAACTGTGGTTTAACCCACAAGGCATGGATTTCTATCTCCAGTGCGAAAAAAACCACTTACCTGGGATGGCGATGTAGGAGAGGAAGGCGAAGGTCTTATCCGAGGTAGACTCGACCGTGCAGAAGGTGGACTTGGGGATGACAACGGCGAACTTAGCGCCGTCGTAGTCCAGAGGATTGCCGAGCACGGCCTCCTTGTGGGCTCCTCCATCCGTTAACATGTGGATCTGGAACGCGATGGCGTGATCAGGTTAAGTCGCGAAGCAACGACAGCGGCACTGCGCTAATTAAGCAGTATAAGCAAATAATATAGGCTTTGAGTTATTTCCACCATATTGCCCTTACTACAGGGGCTATTTAGGCTCGTGAGCACAAGTGTTCCAATCACTCCTTCGATGAAGATTTAATGAAAACAGGTCTCGTTTCTGGGACCATCAAACGCATTCACCACTGAAAGAGCTGTCAATTCTTGCTGATATCAGAGACTATTCATACTTACACCAGAGACCCTTCCTACTTATATCTGAGACTATTCCTACTTTTGTGTTTGCGGGCTCACCATGACCCCAGATGTGAATAGAGGCGCCATGCGTGTTGCGGATTAAGAGTTCACTTAAAATGCTGAAGCGCTCCCCATAAATATGCGAGATTTCCACCTCTCTGGTTCGAGCATTTGTTTCCGTGCACCGGCGTCGGCAATGTCTGTGGGGAAAGCGCAGGCTTCTCCGTCTGACCCTGTCGTCTGTCTTACCTTGAGGGCCGCCCCATGGTGCCAGGTGACCATGACGTCGGAGACGGTGTTCTGGACCCACATTCCGATGCCGTTGAAGCCCTTCACCTCAGGTGAGATGATGCTGTAGATTTGAGAGAAGGTGTTCCTGTCGGTGCCGTCGAAGGTCGCTTTCCACTGAGGGAGGGTGGGGCAAGGTGTGCTCCGGTCAGTGGGTGAAAGAGCGGTACGCTTGATCCAGAAACGACACGGGTCCAAACTCACACGGGCGCAGTGCACTGTTAGACAGGTAAAAGAAAACATGAAGAACGTGGTGAAAGTAAGCATTTGGGAATTTTAAAGTTCCGAAACTTCCGGTGCCTTATTCCCGCTCTGGAAAGCCAGCACTGCAACTGGCACGCCGACGCTAGTACGACATCATCCAGCTACCCCCCCCCCCCCCTCCCCGCTCAGCCCAGCCGGGCGCCTGCCACGTCACACCGGAGGGACGTCGTCACCGACCCCAGCTGCTCACCGCCGAACGGATGGGGATGCTCCCCATCATGTCGCGCCTCCACCTGACGTCCAGCGCGTCCTGCAGCTTGATCTGCTCTGGCTGCGTCATGGTCAGGAAACGGCGGTACAGGTAGCCTAGGCCGATAGCCAGCTTGGCCGTGGAGGGTGCCTTGCCCTCTCCGCCTTCCTCGCCGGCGGCGACCAGCGCGCACGCGCACAGCACGGCCAGAAGCTTCATGATGATGAGTGACGCCCGCCTCGCCCGCGGACCTTATATACAGCCGCCGGCGCGCCCTTCGCCCCGGCGCTGGGGGGCTGCTGTCTGTTAGAGGTCGGCTGGCCGTCAACGGCGCCTGGTAACGCAGACGCAGAGGGCCACGAGTACGGATGGGTCTGGGTGGTAGCGGGCGGGGCCGCGCGCCACATTTGCCGCCGCGCTGGCGGCGTACTCCACCGATCCCCTTGCCATCTGCTGCGCCGATGGAAAGCTACCGGGCTGGCATTTGGGCCCTCCCGGGCAGAGGCCTCGGGCGGAAGGAAAATCTTTGACCGAGCGCTCCGTTTGGAGGAACTTTACCGTCTAAGGAAATATTTTTAGAGAAGAAAGAAAGTTTGCCACAGACGGTCATTGTTCTTTACTCCATTGCTGTCGTCATTGTTCTTTACCCCATTACAGTTTGCTACGTCTTGCCCGGGATACTCCGCAAAGAAAGGATGTGACGTTTGTTCGGATAACCTTACGAGATGTACAAACTGCAAATTACCGCATAAAACGATAGCATCATTCATGAAGCTGAATTGCTTTCTTGAACTGAAATTGGACCGTCAGCATGGGTTCAGCTAGATTGGTTGTGCTTATAACCATAATCGAATGCTTGCGGACATTCGGTTTCATGGTTGGCTTCGGGTTGTGGTAATTTAGAAATTTGTGCTTCGATGTCAGGAAAATATGCATATAGTGTATTTTGCAAATCACAAATTTCATACAACTGGCAGCTCTTTGCTCACAGAAGTCTCTCAGAACTTGCGTTTGATTTGACACAGGTTACGGACATGCTGCCTTCTCCGCTCTATTGCTGTGAATGGCCGCATTTTGGGTCACCTACCACTTACCACTTATATCACTTAAGTAACCAATCAATCAGACACTTCCGAAACGTTCATAGCATGGTTTACGTCCCACATCAGTGACGTATGTAGAAGTGCACGGCACATACACGTGCAACGTACCCCAAAAATAAAAGCCCGCTTAAAGGCGCCGTTGCCATGACGTGCATCTTTCTGTCTTCAGCCAGTCTGATCTTAAAAACGGCCAAGCTCGGGAAATATGTCACATGTGCGGACCCTGTTCCACACGCACGCTACACCACTCCAGACAAGCATCAACCAAGCTCTCCGCATTCGCGCGATATTGTGGTGAATCTTAACGACTGCGCTTGTGTAACGGCGGAATGTATCGCAGCGGCTGGTGATTGGCTGACACTGCAGCTGAGGGCGCTACGGGCATGCATTCTTATGTGTATGGATTACTGGCCATGTTGGTGTCAAAAGACAGATCATGTCGCTGTCACAGGCGCAATATAATCGACGTGTTATCTGAATTGCCGTACCGTCATTTCTGGACGGAGTATTTGGGTAACAATGCGTGAGAATGCATTTCTTAGGTCAATGATCCAAACATCCGTACAGTTAAACAAACTGCTAAGGCCCACACCAGCCTGGGAAGATTTAAAGCTGCTTGTGAGATTAACTCCACTCGCCTGACGTTCTCGCTCGTTAGTTACGCTCAAATTGGATAAAGCAATCACATGGACGAGTTAAGTCAGTACCGGTGTGGAGTAGGCGTGCCTCTTGGGTGCACTAGATAGCGCCCTGCCGTGACTTGCGCTGGAAGGGGAAGCGGGAATATGGGAAGTACAAACAATCATGTACCTGGTAACAATCACCTACCACGGACCACGCCGTTTAGTTGGGTACCTGTTCTCATTTTAAATGGATCGATGCGGCAGTGACGGCATGACTGTCATAATTATTCGCTGCCGAGTCACCGAACGGCGACCCATTTCAGCGACACGACTGCAACTCGTTCAAGTTGGGGTGGAGAAACTTAATCGGAAATGAGTAGGTGTTTCATGTACCGAGATGAACTGGTTCAACGAAGATATCAAACAGTGATTGGTATACATTATGAAAATGTTAGGCTGGCTAGGCAGGGATCACCGTCACAATTCCACAGAAATGTTGGATCCGGACATACACCTGTGTCGCGCACGTAGCAAATGTACACCTACTACTGCATATACGGGATCCTGTCGTTGTGCTGGCCCTAAACTCCGCCGCCGTCGGCAATGCCAACTCTCAGCTCCGCCGCCACCGTCGACAATGCTGGCCCTCAGCTCCGCCACCGGCAATGCTGCCCTCAGCTCGCCACCGTCGACAATGCTGGCCTCAGCTCCGCCACCGTCGGCAATGCTGCCCTCAGCTCCGCCACCGTCGACAATGCTGGCCCTCAGCTCCGCCACCGTCGACATGCTGCCCTCAGCTCCGCGACCGTCGGCAATGCTGCCCTCAGCTCCGACCGTCGACCGTGCTGGCCTCAGCTCCGCCACCGTGACAGTGCTGCCCTCAGCTCGACCGTCGGCAATGCTGCCCTCAGCTCCGCCTACGTCGACAATGCTGGCCCTCAGATCCGCCACCGTCGACAGTGCTGCCCTCAGCTCTGCGACCGCTGGCAATGCTGTCCTCAGCTCCACCACCGTCGGCAATGCTGACCCTCAGCTCCACCACCGTCGGCAATGCTGCCCTCAGCTCCGCCACTGTCTGCAATGCTGTCCTCAGCTCCACCACCGTCGGCAATGCTGGCTCTCATCTCCGCCACCGTCGGCAATGCTGGCCCTCAGCTCCACCGCCGTCGACAATGCTGATCCTCAGCTCCACCACCGTCGGCAATGCTGGCGCTCAGCTCCGCCACCGCCGACAATGCAGGCCACGCCCCCGGGCGTCCCGGCGTCATGGCTATGGGAGCGCAACTCATCCCACACCTCTCCAGAAGCTGGCGTTGCTGCTCACCGCTCACACGAGACGTAAATGCCCTCCAAATGGCTTGATGCTTGTTTCAGTGGTGATTGAAAAGCTGCTGACGCTTGAAAAGTAGGAGTTTGCCTTCAGGGTTGTCCATGACAAATCGATCGGGAATTAGTGCATTGCAGTACGACATCCCTTCACCTTTGACGAAGATTTGTGTAAGGGATGATTATACGATCTTAACACGATTCTGCAAGTGCTACAGTCGCACAGGTTACCAATAAGGTACCAAGAGCAAATAAAATGACGCGATGACGTTATCAGTCCTGTTTGTCAACTTGCTCCCGTGAAAACAATTTGCGGAGACCTAGTTCGAACTTTGATCTTAATTTCCGAAAATGCACAGTGCCTTAGATTTCCATTAAGATAATATGTAGTTGAAAACCAATTTATTGCCGTTCAGACCAAACACACACTGATCAAGTCCCTTCTAGATCGTACGGAAATCAAATTGGAATATTGTCGGATCACGTGCGGTGGCACGCCACAACCCAATTGTTCTGCATGGGGTGGCCGGGCAGATAGGCTCACTCCGTCGTTCCTTGTGACCGCGGCCTCGAAATCACTCAGTTCGATCTCGGGACCTGTCATTTAGACATTCTTCCGGGATTTCAGAACAAGGTCTGAATGACGCATGTGTGCTCATCGACGACGTTTCATGTCATGTCATTTCACTGGGGCTTTATGACGCGCCCAGCTGGTGAAGCTATATGGCGTCGCCTGCCTCTTACCATGGCATGAAAGGCGGGCACCGCTGGAATCGAACCCCGTACCCCTGGTTTCCCAGACGTGCAGTGGGCAACGCAGACGCGTTAGCCACTACAATACCGGCACCCCATCGACGACGTTTCTGTCGGCCTTGATGAGTAGCGTAGATGGCAACGTGGGGTACTTCGAGTCATCACATTACATCAATAGCCATCATTTTAAGTGGAGTGGGAGTTCAATATAAAGAGAAAAAAGCAACTGGTCTGAAATGACATTAGTTCGTCCAATCTGACATTCAGCTCGAACAAAGTCGTCCTGTGGGCTGGCCCAGAATATCTGGGACCGGGCACATGCAATTCGACACAGCACAAATCTGATGCGACGCTGGCTCCGAGTAAATCTGGTGATAATGGAGCAAAGTCTAAATTGGTACCATTTTTTTTCAAAAAAGTATTTCAAAAAACTTTGACGAGAAGGAAAATGTGTCCTTGGAAGTTAGAAAAATGAACCCCTGCGGTTTTGCCCCTCTCAGCAACAGCTGCCAGGAAATGCTCAATAAGAGTAGTTGGAAGACATTGGAAATTTTGTCGAAAAAGTTAGTTGTGGTAGCAGGAAAGGAACAAAGAAAGTGCATGCGCGTCGTAGCGATATTATGATGAGTGTGATGTAAGTCATTTGCCATCATCACAAACAAGACTTGTTAACTTGTTAAACTCCTACAAATATGCGGATTTTCTGTGCCAAGGTGAAGACGTGTGCAAAGCCATTTGACCAGTTAAGTACAAAGGAACAAGCAAGAGTTAGCGCAAAATAACCGACAATTATCTGGCGAAGAAATTTCCTCTAAAAGGCTCTGTAGATATTGATGAAAACTCGTGAAGAGCGCAGGAAAAACTACCGTCACCTGCCATTTCAAATATTGATCAAGTCCCCTCCGCGAGTAGGTATATCAGAGTTACGGAATCTGCGAACACACGCTTCGGTCAACGGCAGGATCGAGCTAAGCCGCTGCAGCGATAGCCCAGATCACCAGCCACCTTGGAACAAAAACCTGTTAAAACGTCTGCGGCTGGATACAATTCTGTCCGTTGTGCTGCAAATATTTTATGCATTTTTCTACGGAAATACTCCATAGGCTAGACGAGCATGTCTCCCCAACCGCTGCCACTCGTCTGTGCGTGCTTATGCGCTATTATGATAACGGTGGCATTTGTGGGCAATACTTTGTAGAGGAGAAATTGGCTGAAATCATAAACACACGTCGTGTTTATGTGCCAGCTTGACAACGGCACCGCGCTCGTGAACGAATCGCCTGCGTTTGCAGGGAGAGTAATGAAAGCGCGACGGCTCAAGAAATGACAAAGGAAGTTAGCTGTTGTTGTGCGAGAAACGTTTGTCAACTGGCCACCGATTTTTCCAAAAATGTTATCTCACCGTACAAGACACGGTCCAGTGTTGTTAACAGCAAAACACTCAAGCGACTTCCCCATATACAACTATTCGCGAAATGTTTTCAAATGGCCATTGGTTTCTCCAGAGAAATGATCTCTGTTATCAGTAATAACCATGACAACTTAACAGCCGCAGCGTACCTTTGCGAGGAAAAGTGAACAATGCCGACAATTTTACACACACGTCTAAAACAAGCTCATCGCTTCACCCTGTATGTCTGATACAAAACAAATGCAAATCTAAATTTCTCAACAAGTGTCACCACACTGAGGATTTGAGCCTTAGTTATGCATCGTCCTTTTTCGCGACCTTTCGCGGGAAATAGCCATGCAACCGTTAAACATCTGAGGGAGTATACAAATCCGTGGGGTGTAGAGCAGGATTAAGTCCTGCTGTTACAGAACATGTTTCGCACGTGCACCGACCATATTGAACGCTAGTGCACACACACACATCATTAAATGCTTTACGGAGCGCTACACGGAAAGGCACGGATGTGTGCGTTTCACTCATAGGTCATCTATCACCCGTATACGCACACACTATCCTTCTTCGAATAATTATGCGGCTTGTTTTTTTTGTAATTTGCGCAGTTAAACCTCACCGCTTCATTGGCATTTGTTGGCACACTCTTCATGCGTGTAACAGCTGATTAAACCTACAAAACGCAGCAGCGCTTAGATAAACGGTGCAAGAGGCCAAAGCACTGAGGTGAACGCTCAGCTACAATCATAATATACCCTGGGGAAACACGTCTAAGTTGCACGTACATCAGTGAACGCAATTCGATGAACATTTAAAGCAATCCGTGACGAATGAGTAGTGTAGAACATTGAGAGTGAGGCGGTTTAGTCGCATGAAACCAGCGGTGCAGAATAAGCAGCCAAAGATTTGAACCTTCTGTCTTTTGTTCCTGTTTCGCCTCTATATCAGCCGACATGGACAAACCATCGGTGACGTAGCTGGTTGTAAACGGCGAAATCCGCAGGGGTGAACAAGTTCCCGATTTACCGGGTATGGACGGCGACAACAATGTACATGAGCTATTGGAAGCCGAAATTGCGAAAATGTACAACGTACCATGCCAGTTAAGCCAAACCTAAGACTAAGTAATGGTCTGCATCCACAAATGATTACAGCGTGCGCTTACGTGGAGCATCTGTTGAAGTATTAACTTTATGGTTTATGAGCATGCTGACACACACATCGCAACTTGGCGTAGGCTTCGCACAATTCTCTCTGCACCTTAGGCTCAGCGACCTGACCGTTTGACAAGCGCGAGAGAAAACAGATTTGGCATTGCACACTGCCATTGTGTTGCATGAAGAGCTAAAGGAAATCGTTAGAAGTGCTCAAAAATGTCTTGTGCATCCGCTGATGCCAAAAAATTGCATGAATTTTGTTTTAGTTCCGTTGCATGTAAGCATATTAAGAGGTACAAGGGCTACGTTGTTAATGCCGATGATTACGCGAAAATAGTGAAGGTCGCTGCCTGTACGATGACGTCATGTAACCAAAAAAGACCGAGGGGGCGTTGTTGGAAATTTTGAACGGGCTGTCGTGTTATCCTCCGGTCAAACTGCTGTGGAATGGCCCTGAGAGGAGAGCTTTATATCATAGAACGACAACGTTAGAAAGAAAGATCATATTTCGTTTAACACAAGAATCGCTTTGATGAAGACTCTCCGCAGGGGCACCGGCTTCAGCCGGTGTAGGGGACTAGCAACCCCTCGGGTCCCAGCTCCGGTAACGGGCGGGCAGTGCAAGCTGTTCCTCTGAGGGCGTAGCGACCCTGCCGGTACGTTAGCTCCCGCTCCTTGTCCTGCCCGCTCCCTTCCCATTACCCGCTTTCCCGCATCCGGCCCACTCATCACTCCTAATCCTCGTTTTATCGGGGTCGCCGTGCCCCCTCGCCCGCGTCCCCGGGTCGATCGGATCCTGGCGACTGAGGGGCGCGTCCCAACACTCCACTTTGGCCAGGATATCCGGGGCGCGGGGGCCCGTGGGGCCCCACACGGGTCTAGCGGCTTGTCGCTCACGCTGCGGCTGGGTGCTCCGTGCGGGTCTCCGCTTGGGAAGCCTGGCCGCACGCAGCGGCTTAAGCGGTCAAGGGGCGATGGCGCTGAACCACGGTCAGGACGGGGATGAGTCTCCCCGGTTACACCTGGCCGTGTGGGAGGCGTCGTTCGCCCCGTATACCACCGAGGCAGCCCTGGCGGAACCGCCACCCCCTGGGTGAGAAGGCCTTTCCCCAGTTGGGCTCCGAGGTGGGTGGGGAGCCTCGGTGCCGAATACTTAAACCATACATGCATGGCAACTTCAATCCAAAAAACGCCCGCACCCGGAAAGGGGAGCGGATAGAGAGTGCAGGTGGTAGTGCGTCAGCGCCTACCCCTTAAATCCTGATTTTCCGAAACGCCGAGAAGGCGCTGTCGTCCCTTTCGCCCTTCCAATGACGAAATGGGTGCGATCGGTTTGGAAAGGTGCTCCGATGCGATAAGCTCAAGGACGGTGGGATCGAGGTCGAGTTTCAGAACGAAGAGGAGGCGAAACGGGCCCTGACTGCGGAAACGTTTGTGTACTGTGTGCGGGATGCGGAAGAGAAAAAGTCCGTGTTAATAGCGATGACCGTTGAGGTTCATGGGAAAAATAACTCGTCAAGGGTATCAACTGCTTTTACCTGAAAGATGTCAATGATGACGAAATAGACGACGGCCTCGCCGAGTTCGGCGTACCAGATGCTTGCCGCATCAAGGTGCGCAGAGGTGCGGAGTTGGTCCTCATCAACAACATCGTGCTGACTTTAACCGTCCTGACATACCATCTGAAGTAAGGGCAGGCTATGTGAGGGTGAACGTGCGCCTCTTTATTCCGAACCCCATGAGATGTTTTAAGCACCAGATGTTTGGACATACGAGGGCTTTCTGCCGTAACCAGCCAGCATGTGGTAAGTGTGCTTCTCCGGAGCACCCGAGCGATCAGTGCACTGCAGCGAGCCCATGGTGTGTGAACTGTGGGAAAAACCAAAAACCTCATTCTACTTTCGATAGTGCGTGCCCGGCGTACGCCAGAGAGGAGATTATTGCACTGAAAGCCACGAAGAAGATCTCATTTCGTGAAGCAAGGGATCTATATGAACTGAGCCACCCTAAGACATCATATGCCACAGCGGCCAAGGCTCCTGTCGCACCTGAGTCTCCTTAGATCAGATAACTGGGACGCAACTCACTAAACTACTTACATCATTCGGGCTGTCGGTTGTACCGGCGTCCCAGGTGCACAACACCGTGTCGGCAACATCATCGTCCCCCGTGTCGGTACCCTGCGCCCCCTCTGAGGCACAGGCCAGCTCGCCAGTTGTTACCTGGCCGTCTCACCCCTCCCCGGTGCCGGAGCGCCCGGTGCCGACCTCCGCGGCATCATCTGACGCGCCGGCGGAGGGAGAGGGATGGACGGTCGTTCAGCGTAGCCGGGGCCTGCGAACTTCGCCGGCCTCACCATCCGGCACCCAGTTGCCGTCGTCTCCAGTGACATCCGTTGCAAGCACTTCTGGAGAGCGCTTGAAACCCTAGAGTGTCACGAGGTAGACAGGCGCGCCCATGAGCCTAAGCGGGAGCGACTGGCTGAGCAGGAGCGGGCCAAAGCAACCAACAGGCTGTCAGGAGCGGGCAAGGAGCCTGCTCCCCGGAGCAGTACTTCCTCACCGCGAAGACCGGTTGAGGCTCCACCTCGGCACCATGTGGTGGGCAGGGACTCAGTGATGGCCCCTCCTCCGCCACCACCACGTACAAGATATGTTGGCTCCAAGCATGTCCCGTCTGGGGTCTTGTTCCTAAGTGACAGGGGTAGCCCAAGGTCCCGCCCCAGGCTGGGGCACCGATCTGTGGAACTGGGTTGCAGATCTGAGATATCTGGTGCTTCATCTGGAGCGGTGCAATTCTTTTAAATATCATCTTTTTAGTGTGAGATATTTATCTTCTTTTAACACGTCCTTTTTAAGACGATTTTACAGCGGAACTGCAGGGGAGTAAGAGCTAACGCGCTCAACCTCCATGCTGAGGTTGGCCGGAAGTATCCCGTAACTGTAGCTCTGCAAGATCCAAAGCTGGCGCCGAACTCCTTCGCGTTAAAAGGCTACGCAGTTTTCCGCAGTGACGTGTCTGCTGGCACTGTTGCGCACGGTGGTATCCTCCTGGTCAATCACCACAGCCTGTGTGCGTGTGGGTAATGAGATGTCAGCACCTTTTTGACAGGTGAATGGTGTACCTCAGGGGATCGTTTTAGACGCTTTTTGCTATCACGATAAACGACATCGTTGACGTCATATCGCAGTCAGTCGACCGCGCTCTCTTCTTAGATGATTTCACCATACGGACCAGCGCATCAAGTATGGACCAGCGCATTAAGAACGCATGTAATGGAGCGCCAGCTCCAGTTGGCTGTTAACCATCTGGAAAGGTGGAGCACCATTAATGGGTTTCGGTTTTCCGCCGTGAAAATGGTCGCCACGCACCTCTGTCGCCGCCGTCAATGTGGTGGCTTGGCTCTCTGTCTTTACGACCAACCCATTCCCACTGAGTCAGTAACCAGATACCTTGGGGTATATCCCGGCAGTCGTCTCACATATAGGGCGCATTTTAAAACCCTACGAGATAGATGCTTTAAAGCTTTGAACATTTTAAAATGTGTGGCACGTACGTCATGCGGTGCGGATAGGAAGACGCTCATGCTTTTACACCGTTCACTTATCCGTTCTAAGCTTGATTACGCATGTTTTGCATATGACAGCGCAAGTGAGTCAAACAAGCGTCCTTTGGACACTATCCACCACACAGCACTCCGCATCATCACAGGAGCGTTTCGAACGTCACCTGTCGCAAGCCTTCTTGTTGAAGCCAACGAGCCGCAGCTGTTGGCTAGGCAAGAAATGCTTGGCATGAGATATGCTCTAAAGCTGAGGCAATTCCTTTCTCACCCTACATATGATGTAGTTTTCTTGCGTCGAACAACGGCTGTGTTTCATGGTGGTCCGGATCAACATAATCCCCTTTTTGCGCTAGAATAAGGCCTCCACTTGATGCCAGTGACATTCCTCTTTGCAGCATGATGCGGGTGCAGCATATGCCACACCCTCCATGGCTTCTGATTGCGCCCAGAGTAGACACTTCGCTGGCTGAAACAAGGAAACATACCCTGGCACCTGACTTGTTCCGTTTCATGGGGCTAGGGCACGTGGCGTCGTACGAGGGGACACAATAACTTATATGGACGGATCCAAAACTTCAGACGGTGTCGGCTGTGCATTTGTAAGTGGAACCGTTTCTCGATCATATACACTGTCAGGGCACGCGTCGGTATTCACCTCTGAACTGGTAGCTATAATCAAGGCGCTTTGTGTTATTGAAGTTGGGAATGAGTCCTTGCATCTTGTTTTAACAGATTCTTTGAGTGGCCTCTTGGTCTTGAGAAATTTCAACCCATCATGTCCCCTTTTACAGGACATCTTGATACGTCTCACTGCATTGGACCGAGTTGGAAAGAAGGTGACACTGTGTTGGATTCCTAGTCATGTTGGTATCGTTGGAAACAAGCTCGCTGACGCAGCCGCAAAACGGGCATCACATGCACCATGTACGCGCAGATTACCTCTTCCAACTCGAAATTTTTATCCAGCCATTTTTCCTTTCTTGCAACACAGGTGGCAGCTCTGTTGGAATAATGACACAAGCAGCAAACTGAAACATATGAAACCCGAATTGGGCCTGTGGTCTTCCAGCTTCCCCGCTTCGAGACGAGAAGTTGTGCTTTGCAGGCTGCTTACTAGCCATACGTACGAAACTCACTAGTATTTGTTGTGTGGTTGTGACAGACCCCGATGCCCTCGTTGTTCCGCGATTCTTACCGTGCACCACGTAGTAATGCTTTGTCCACATTTCGCCCGGGAGCGCTCGCCTTACTTTGGGCGAAATGAATGACTCCCTTACGCTAACTGACATTCTTGACAATCACTCGCAACTTCTTGAAGATGGCCGACTGTTTTCATTCCTTGCAGAGATCGGATCTCGCTCTATATATTCACCTCGTTGCTAAATGACAACGTTATGGGCGCAATATGACCTATGCAGTCGGTGCGCCCAAAGGCCCTAATTAACAACAACAAAAGAGCTTTGATAAAGACTGGCAAAAGTGCGCTTTAGTGGCATTGATGAATGATGCACCACTCAGTGTTATTTCATACCCAGTAGCTGTAGCAGTGTAGCTTTTTCTCACCTTCTCCCAGTCTCTTTCCTTTTTAAGTCGAATTTAGCAACGATCAAACCTGGAAATCTTAACCATTCTTAGCCTAGACCTTCTGGACTACGCGTGCTCCTCATCAGCATGGGGTTTCAGTGAGATGACATATCAGGAAGTCATAATGAACGGCGCAATATACTCAGAGATAATTCTTTTTTTCGCGCGCATATCCATCGGTGGATCGCCACTCCATCCACTGGTGAGGCAAGCCACGCTCCCTCCGCCGGTGAGGTGAGACTCTGCTGCCTGACTGCCGCTCCCTCCGCCGGTGAGGTGAGTCTCTGGTACCTGACTACTGCTTCCTCCATTGGTGAGGTGAGCCTCTGGTACTGGACCACCGCTCCCCCACCGTCGTCGTCAGCCGGCCGGTCCGATAACCCGAGGTAAAGATCACGCGGCCGCCGGCCCGCCTTCTGCGCCCTCCCCGTCGGGCCGCTTAAGAACACCCTGGGCTGGGGCAGCGGCGTCGACACATAGGCAGGAGATGAGAAAAGACTCAGGAAACGTTGACATCCGCCAAGAAGGCAGGCAGCAGGCCCATTCGTTGCAAGATTCATGCCCCCAAGGGCGAGACGGTTTGACGGGTTTGTCGAGCTCTAGTCAGCCGGGCAGTCGCAGCTCGCGCCTTCAACTCAGCTCGAGCCGTCACATTCTGCGCGAGGTGTTCACTCTCGCGATCGGGGTTTATTCGCGTGAGAGGTGAGAAACAATCGAAGCGGGTCACTTTGCTCCCGATGTCCATCTCAAGCCGAAGATATGCTCGTATGAGGCATATCACCACATTGTAAAGGACTAGCGGCGGTGATGGCTGCGATAGCCGTAGCGGCCGTGGTGATGGTAACCATGATGATCATCATCGTGGTCGTGATGGCGGTGGCCGTCATCATCTTGGTCGTGGTCGCCACTCTTGCTGATGCCTGGCGTGGCCAGAGCCTTGAAGAGTTCCGAGTGATCAGGGAACTTGGTCCCCATGTCCTTGAGCGAGAACTCTTCGAAACCCTCTTCTGTCCAGCCTGCAATCATGAGAAATTCACGCCCTGAGCTTTCCTGTTGTCCTTAGTCGTTAACAGCTGTGATTTACGCACAAACTTTATGCTGGTGGCGGGGACAGTGACAAAAATGAGTAACTAATATTATAATAGCTTGATATGCTAAACTACTGGACTGTCGTTTTTCGTCTTCACTTTGCCGGTGAACGACACCGTGTGTGGATGCAGTCCATTTAAGGTAGCTTATTCGTGAAACAGTGCCCCATAAATTACTATGTGCGCAAGTGTGCAAGTTTTTAAAAATTTCATGCACGTTTAATTCAGCAAAACAATGTTGGTCTAAAGGTTGCTCTGGTACGAATGCTCAGGCACAAACTGGGCGTAAACCCACGAGGCACCGATTCCTACCTCCAGTGCGAATAATACCACTTACCTGGGACAGCGACGAGGGAAAACAAGGCGAAGGTCTCATCCGAGGCGGATTCGATGGTCCAGAGGGTGGACTTGGGGGCGATAGCGACGAACTTGGCGCCTTCGCGGTCCAGAGGATTGCCGAGCACAACTTCCTTGTGGATTCCGCCATCCGTTAACATGTGGATCTAGAACACGAGAGTGTGATCGAAGTGAAACAACGACAGTGGTTTTGCAATACAGGTTTCAGCCTACAGCGTTTTCACAGAAAACACCTGTAGCCAGCGTCTCAAGGCAGACATTCGTATATTTTTGGGTATCACTTTACGTTTTTGGCGTAAAAGTCGCATAATCCAGTTTCTCAGAGCAAAACTACACGATTTACAGCTATAACCTACGCCACTAAAAATACACAGTTGGTGTGTGTGTGTCTGCCATGCCACTGATTTTGAATACAAAAACAATGGACGTCGCGTGGTAGGCGTTCCCCCCTGCCGATGCCCTCCGGGTGAAGATGTCCGGTATTTCCACCTGTGTGGTTCGAGCGTCTGCTTCCGTGCACCGGTGTCGACGATCTCTGTGGGCGAGCGCAAGCTTCTCCGTCTGACCTCGTCGTTTGCCTCACCTTGAAGGCCGCCCCATGATGCCAGCCGATCAGGACGTCAAGGGCGTTGTGCCGTATCCACTGTCCGGTGCCGTCGAAGCCCTTCGCCTCAGGCGAGATGATGCTGTAAATGTGGGAGAAGGTGTTCTTCTCGGCCCCGTCAAAGATTGCCTTCCGCTGCGGGGACAAGGCGTACTCCGGTCATTGGGTGACAACGAGACGCTTGGTCATGAAAGGAGATGGGTTCTAACTCACACTGTTGCAGAGCATTGCTGTAATGCAAGCCCTAAAAGGCATGATTGTAAGCAGCTGCACGGCGACATGGTTAACATGGTTAACATAAACGCTTGGAACTTCTAAATCTCCGGAACGTCAGGTACCATGAAAACCCCTGGAAAAGCCCTGGCCCTGCTCTGGCCCTGGAAAGGCTCAGGCCCTGGAAAACCTGCACTTCACTTGACATGCTGACGTCTGTTCCGCATCATCTAGCTCAGCTCAGCCCTACGGCTGCCAGACGGACTTCGCCGCCGACCGCAATTGTTTACCGACGACTCGACGGGGTTGCTGGAGTACATGTCTTGCCTCCACCTGACGTCCAGCGCGTCCTGCAGCTTGATCTGGTCCGGCTGCGACATGGTCAGGAAGCGGCGGAACAGGTAGTTGAGGCCTGTGCCCAGCTGGGCCGAAGAGGGCGCATGGTCCTCTCCGCCGTGATGGTCGGCGGCGACGAGCGCGCACGCGCACAGCACGGCCAGAAGCTTCATGATGGCGAGTGACGCCCGCCCAACACGCAGACCTTATATACAGCCGCCGGCGCGCCCTTCGCCCCGGCGCTGAGGGGGCGGCGGGGGGGGGGGGGGGGGTTGCTGCTGCATGTTAGAGGCCCGCCGGCCGGCAACGGCGCCTGGTATTGCAGGGGCACGGACACGGATCGGTCTGGATGGCAACGGGCGGGGCTGCGCGCCATACCATCTGCTGCGCGCGTGGGGAGTGACCGCAATGCTCATTGGGTCCTCCCTCACGGAGGCCTGGAGCGGAGGCGAGGCCCTCGGTGGAGCGCTCCGGCTGTAAGAAGGAACACTAAGCGAACAACTTACGGACAACCTCCTTCTTGGCAGGAGAGCACTTCGGGCGATGACACGCCTAGTTCTCTGTACATCTGTAAAATGTTGTGCTTTATGCTGTCTCCTATATCACAGCGGTGGCACATGTTGCTCAGGATGAGTTCTGCATAGGAATAGTCCAAAGTACGCAGGTACAGTGTCATTAACTACACAAATTGCGAACGATTTAAAGCAGTCTCGCGGCTAAGTGCAAATTAATCTAAATCCTGGTGCCAACGACATGCAATGTTTGCAGTTTTCCTCTTATTAATCCGAAATGGTGCTTCAACCAGAGTTTTTCACTCCCATAGATGTCACATTAGTTGTGTTCAACACGAAATAAATGGCGTGTGTGACGTTGCCTCCGTGATGATCAATGCTGCCAACGAAGGGCAGCATAGTGCAGTTACATTACAGGGAGATCATAATGCGTCAGTCGAGCAGTGCCACCTACATGCAAACTGAATACAAAATGCCGACCTTCACAGACAGAGTGCGGAGATAACAAAACATGGAATCAACAAGGAACTTGAACTTCTCGTTTTGCGACCTTCAAGCTCCTTTGATAAAATGCTCGTTGTTCAGTTTACCAGCATGTTCAATGAAAACCTTGAAATCAGGTTGCATGAAATCGTCGTTCAACCAGTTCAACCTCCTGGGATGTGTGGACTTGGTGACTTTTAGCGTGAGGACTCATAACGAAAACCTAACATAACGATCAGCTTCCCGGACGTAATTTCAAATACGCATGAGATGCACAAATTGGCTAGGTCCGCAAGGCACGAGAGATGGATTTAAAGTCTCCTGCAAATTGGCCCACGCGCACTTGTTGCGCTCGCTCTGTCATTGCGCACAAATGAATGAAGCAGTCACGTGAACCTGTTACTTTAATATCGAGCGCGACTGCGAGCTGTGCCAGAGCTTGCGGTTTTATTCGCATGATGAGGTTCTGCGTCGAAAATAACCGGCTTTCAACATACCAGAAGATCCCGATCAAAATGCGGCAACAAGTAACCATCAACATGCTTTATGAGAAGTGTCGACCTTCAATCCAGTGCTCACATTTCCGGGTCATGTCGATAGGGGGGGGGGGGGCAATCTGAGGGGTCCCTGAGCCTTGGTCGCAAGTAATCTGATGCCAACTATGGCTTGGAAACGTCTCACCCTCCTGACAGCTTGCGTGGGAACCGTCCATGGCCAGCACAAGGGCCGCCTAATGTAATTACAGATCGCATGTCTCACAACGCAGGTCTCAAGCAAAACGCGTCGGCGGAGCTCCGCACGGACACTGTTTCACCCCACCCTCGTTCCTGAGTGTCGCGGTGAGCACCGCCGCGGTCAGGCGGCCTGTATGCTGACCCAGCCGTCTCAGCTCGCGGTCTGAGGTGACACTCGGGGCCGCCTCAGGGTCTGTAGTGCCGTCGGTACAGAGATTGCCCCTCCCGCCTGAGGTAACACCGGGGCCGCAGAGACCGCCGTCTTGCACCCAAGATCTCAGCAAGCAGCGTTGGCGATATTGTGATCGTTATCAAATGGCGGGATGACCAGAGCGGTGTAATGACGTGACGACGTGGGGCTGTTGCTCCCCGGCGGCCATGAGACACGTTCCACGGCGTGACGACTATTTCAAACCCAGCGACAACGGTTACGTAAGTGACATTGGTCGGTTTCGTAAGCACCTTCTGGATCATCAAAGCACTGCAGTAATGTTTAACCTCCTTATGTAAGTAAGCTGCTCCCCAGTATGTTTGGCCCCCTTATGTAAGTAGTCTGGTCCAGACACGCACAGAACAGCTGTATCATTCTATGTAAACAAGAGCACTTCTATTGACTGACAATCAACACACTTCTCCCTGAAAATGGGCATTGCTTGAGGGTGGTGGCTCACATTTTAGCAAGTAATCGAAATCAGGGGTCTTTGTGCACCCGAAATGCGCCACCAAATTGGAGGTCATGTGGAAATAGTCTTTACATTCTGCAATCCACTGCAAATAGACAGTTTGTCCGCTCTCCGTGCTGGTGTTTCCTGGTCGTGTTCACCGAAACTGTATGCGTTCCTGGATACGCTTAAATAAGTGCCTACACTGGAAATAACGCCGTGATCTAACCATGCCGAAACGACAAAATATGTTGTGCGTCTAAGCGTTCCAAGAGGGAAATGTTACTGACGGTTGAAGTGGTCACGCACATTTGTTGCGATAGTGAACGATCCCACGCAAGACTCAGGACTGTTCTCAGCCTGCGATCAATCACATATTCTCGCAGGCTTTTTTTTAGAAGGTCCTGGTACGAAGGAGTACGGTACAAACCTAATACAACGGGTGCTAATAGAGTCGGGGATTAGGGAGACGTCTTATGAATTGCTGGATACTACTTTAAATAGGTGCCATAAGTGAAGCTCTTAATGCTACATAGGATGAGCTCGTGCATCAGCTGAAAGCCTAGTTAAGTCGCGGCGCAGACCACTTGTTTTTATAGACTTGCCAAATCTATCGACGGCGAACGCGCACCTTAACACTTCCATCACTTCTGGTCGAACCATATCATTTCAGGCGAGTATTTGCACGGCGAAGCAGAGTCGTAAGATACGAGGTGGATTCTTCTTTGTCCTCATTTAAGCAAGATCCTCAAAAGCAATCACGTAGGAAAAGCGTGGGATGCCACAACACAGAAGCGTCTAACGCACCAATGAGAAGCGAAAAGGCGCGTAGCGACAAGTCTGATTTCCGTAGGAGAATCGAGGAAGCAAAATGCGTCCTAATGCGTTCAAAAGGCTTTGCATTCGTTCGATACGCAACTGGTGTCTCGGAGAATGTGAACAAGCGGCTGATTCACTTGTGTTATGCCGTCACCTAGCGCGAGCCATGAAAGGCCTTTTGCTGTAGACGCCGGCGGAGAGAGTTTCTGAACTCAATGGTATGGAATTCGTGGTGGTCTTTGCTCTGGCTGCATTAAGTAATTAAACCTTAGTTGACTCACAGTACTAACATCGCTTAATTCTGCGGGAGCTCCAGACCACTTCGACGTGTTTATTTTGTGCATTGAATTCCAGCACGAATGCAGGAACGCGCAGTGCTGCCATTGCCACGGGCGCGAGGCTCGGGCGCCCCTTGGTCAATAGAAGGGAGCTTGGCTTGCAGCACGACGGTACTGGGTATGAGCCCGGGGCGGGCACATTGTGCCGCCTGGCTGTCGAAGAAAGGTCTTTGACAGCTGGCCAAATGCGGCCAGCCTGACCCGAGCGGCTGTGTCTGGGCGCTGGACGACACGTAAGACCGTCGCCAGTCCTGTTGGGCGGTTTATTTTTGGACTGGGATCACGGATGACGCAACAAGCTCCTCCGTGCAGCGAGTGCTATGAGCGCAAAAGCAGTCACGCAGAGCAATGGTATTTTTATCTGGGAGGGGTGGAGTGGCAGGGGAGTTCCGAATAAGCAAGGAAGAAGCAGAACTGCAAGGGATAAGTTGGTAAAAGTGGCGCATTGTGATTAAAGAGAGCAATATCGTAATGTGGTATTGTAGTTGATGTTCCTTTAGCGCAATGGCTACTAGCCTTTAAGTGGCTGAGTCAAGTCGAGTACGGAAGTTTGGAAACTCGGATGCCATGCTGAAAAAGCCTCAGCATCGCTGATTTTGAATAGATGATTTGTGACTGTCAGAGGCACACGTCCTGGTCCTGGTTCCAAAGTGCCGTCGTATAATACGCACACTTTCAAATGTTATCTATGATAACTCTCCTGTATTACTTACTGACTTGCCTGGCCACCTTTAAGGGTGAATGCCTTTCATTTTGTCAGTATGTGGTCAGCCTGAAAAACAATCGCGCGTTTTATACGTTTGCCCTATCGTGCACCCACAGTTCTAACCAGCAACCTACGAAACATATACCGATAAGTTACTTTTGCTACAAGCAAGGCTGCAGCAGTATAACGATAATGCGATGCACATGCGGTGTTCTTGCCTCATTTCATTATGCAGGTATAACAGGCTGAAAACGCCCAGCAAACGTCTGCCATATCTTACCAACGAACACAAATATAACCGTTTTTAAATGCCTTTTACGCCGGTCAAATTCTGAGCCGTTATTCCTTGAAAAATGGTGGGTGGGGCCAGTATATACATTGCAGGTGCCCAGCACAACACTCAGAAGGGGAGAAACACCTCACAATGGGGGACGTGACCTGTTTAAAAAGACGCAAAGTTCCATTCCCGCTTAGCAACTGCCGAGAAACGCATGAAAGGCGCTGGGCAAGCGAAGTGGCAGACACAAGTTATGGCGTTTTTTAGATGCGAAAAGCTACCGTTGGAGTGTTCGCGGTAAGTGTGTTTGGTTCATTACGTCCACGGTGACGTAAAGAGCTATGTCAAGTACGTTTAACATTCTATGTGAGAACTAATGCTGTTACTCGCTTCACTGGATCGCGATACTGAATCGCGATACTTCACTGGATAAGATACTGAGGTTTTGACGCCGCGGCGATCTTTGAAAAACACTACATGCCGATCTACGGCCTGCTTGCGCGGCGGGCGACAAATGACGCTGCTGCAAAACGATGGTGGTGGGTCAAAATCCTTAGGTTATAGAACCATATATTGTAAATTTATTGTCAAAACACATACAATTACGCATCAACATACTGTGAATTGAGCAATGAACATGTG